CCGAGGACGGATGGCTCACGCCTTGGCAAGGCTGTGGAGCCAAGGGAAGCGGCGCTGGGCTGCGGGCAAGGAGGCTCAGTGTTTCAGCCTCTGGAGCAGTTTCATCCTGAGTGTGTCAGGGTCCTGGTGCCAGGGACTGGCATGTTGAGCCACAGCATGTGGGGAGCTGGCAGTGGGGCCACAGCACCATAGCCCCGGCTGGGGTGAACTGGGAAGGGCTGAGCCGTCAGCGCGGGATTCCCTGCTCTATCCTCGTGTTAGCTCAGCCCATGGGGCTTTCATCCCTGACGCTCTGCCTACGTGCCCAGTGGTGTTTAACAATGGTGTTGGAGGATGGTCACAACTTCGTCTCGGAGCAGGGGATGGGGACGCAGCTCTCTATCCTTCCATCGCCATCTCCTGTCCAGCAGCGCCCTTGACCATGCCAGTCTCCGTGCTGCATGCGAGGCCTCTGCTGCTGCGCTCTTCCTCTCTCCGGTGGAAGGATTACAGTGGGTGACCCAGTTTGCAGGGACGGGGAGCGCTGTGGTGGCAGCGAGGAGCCCCGCACCGCTACTGATAACCCGCTCGCTTTCCCTGCAGCTGTTCAGCCATCAGTCCCCTGAGTCCCTGTGGGATCCGAGGGAGGGAGACGCAGCCGGCAGCTTTGGGGCATTGAGCAGAGCAAATAGCGCAGCCATTCCCTCTCCTCCCGTGCAGCTCCTTGCTCTCCTGCTAAGCTGGTAACAAGCCCGGCTGGTGGGACACTTCCTCCCCAGGGGCAGGTCCATCACCCGCAGGCTGTTGCCTCCCTTGGAGCATGGAGGAAGAGCAGGGCTGACTGCTCTGGGTGGATATTTCCGTGGGGGAGCAAAGCCCTGGGGTGCTGGGGAGCTGCCTGAGGACAGCGGCCCCTGCCCAGGCTGTCCGTGGGGGGCTGTGCCTGGTGGGGCAGGACGCAGAGCCATGCTTCCCCCAAGCCATCCTGCTGCGGCTCCCCCCCTGCCACAATCCTTCCCCCTGGGCAGCTTCGTCCCTGCCGGCACCAATGGCTCCTCACCTCACAGAGGTGATGGAGAGAAGGGAGGAGAATCCCACCACTCACAGGGTCGCCCCGACTTGGGGAGCAGCCTGCTGCTGCCCGACAGCCGCCCCTCTTTCTGTGCTGCATCGCACGGTGATGCAGCTGCTGCCTTTCCCAACTGCCTTCAACTTCTCCTCCCCACTTGGAGAAGCTGCTGGAGGCAGAGCAGCCCCCAGTCACCTGCTCCGGGAATTTATCAACTTTGGGAATCGGCTTTGCCAAGGAGTTGGGGAAATGTCACTGCCGTGTCCCCTGCTGCCCCCACTCCCTTGGCGCGGGCAGGGAGCTGGGGGCTCTGCTGGATTGCAGGAACACAATTAATTAGGTCGTTCCAGTAATTAATTCCTTACAAACCTCACGTTGAAATCCTTGCTGTAACGAGATGCTGATGATAGGACAGCATTGAGGTCGCGGGTTTAAATGGACCCTGGGCCCGGAGGAGCCCTTTGCCGCAGGCAGCTGCCGCAGGGATGCGAGTGCTCCGGGGGCGATGCCGGTTGCTGCTTCCCTGGGGGTCCCGCTGCCAGAAGCAGAGAGGGTTGGATCCCAGCTCTGAGGCTGAATCCCAGCTCCTGGTATAGATCCCTGCCCTGTTAATGGTCTTTAGGGTAATTATGAAGGATCCCATTATCTGCTCAGCTGCAGAGCACTAGCCTGCTGCTCGCCTTCATCCTGGCCCCGCACGAGGACCTTGGGGAGCTCGTGAGAAAAATGAATAATGAATTTCAGATTGGACATGAATTGGTAATTAATCACTCCTGGAATTAATTCCAGACAAAGGCGAGGGGGGGAGGAGGTTGGGTGGGGGAGCAGGAGGCAGGCAGGGAAAGGGCTGAGCCAGAGCTGGGTCAAGGCAGAGATGTGAGGTGATGGGGACGTGATAGGACTGCAGCAGCTGCTACCTGGGGCAAAGGCTTGGGGATGTGGTCACCCTCTGGGGGTACATGTGGCGAGGGCAGCCCCTGCCAGGCACCGTGGGGGCCGCACCGGT